GCTAATCGTTTTTAAAAAAATAATTTTTGGTACGGGAAGTTCCAGCAATTTGCCTTAAGGCACGATGCCTTAATTGCCTTAAGACAGAATTCCACTTACAGCTAGTTAAGTACTCTTTTATATAGAATAAAATATACAATATAATATATAATCTCGATTCATATTAATTTTTGTATTCTGCACAAAATTAAAAATATTTACTTCTTAGGGAATGCCAGGTTTAAAAGGTGAAACTGGTCCTCCAGGTCCCGCTGGGCCTACTGGTGATAAAGGACAACAAGGAGAACCTGGTAAAGAAGGTCCTATAGGTCCCGAAGGAAGAAAAGGTCCGCAAGGATCGCCTGGTAGTCATGGTGTTAAAGGAGAAAGAGGCGAATCAGGACCTCCAGGCAAGTGTAAAATGTTATACAATAATATTGCTTTTGAAATTTGAAATGCTATAAAAGAGATAATATCTATCATCACTATACTAATTTGAAACTTTTCACAACATAGGCCCGATTGGCAGAGATGGCTTGCCGGGCTTACGTGGTTTACCAGGTCCACCTGGTCCAGTCGGAGCACCAGGCGAAGATGGTGACAAAGGCGATGTTGGACCACCCGGAGAAAAAGGTTTTAAAGGTGTGCGAGGGGAGGAGGTAAATATTATCGTAATTCTTATATGAATGTAGTGTACCATATAATAATAGATGAATTTAATAGATGAATAATATATATACTTGATTTCATAATTTGCTTCAATTATCTGTGCGTTACGCAATCTTTAACAAAATTTTCATAATACGAAGTGATGTTTTAATTCCATCAAATGTTTCATTTTGCGATTATAAAACACAATGAAATGCATGAATATTGATAATTAAAAATCTGAAATAAAATACTATAGAATCGATGCTTTTACACAGTGATATCATACAAATTCCGCAACCTTTTTAGTCAAAAAAGCATAAAAGACAACAAAAGCATAAAAATAAATAATTGTAATTATTTATATATATAGACATATTTAATGCAGATAATAACATAATATGTTATTGCATATGAAATTTCCTGGTATAGATTCTTAAAATATGATTTAATGTATTTCATTAACTATTTAGATAATTATTTATTCATAGTATCTATCTAATTATTTATTTATTTATTTCTAATATAATAATTAACTAACTTTAATAAAATTAGGGACCAGCCGGTTCGCCAGGACCGCAAGGATTACGAGGAGAACCCGGACCAATAGGACCACAAGGAGAAAGAGGATCACCAGGTGAAATGGGTCGACAAGGAAATAAAGGAGCTGATGGACCGGCTGGAGCAACTGGACCAGCAGGTCCTGCAGGACCGCAAGGTTTACCAGGACCAGCTGGTAGCAAAGGAGAGATTGGTGACGTCGGACCAAAAGGTGAAAAAAAATTGCGCCCATACAAATTTGCAGTAATCTAAAAATTTTTATCAAACAGTTTGTTATATTAAAAAATAGTGTAATTATTATTGATTTTGGAAAAAAAGAAATTCAGTTTAAAAAACACAAAGTTTATAAATAGGTCCTGTGGGACCTACTGGTAGCCCGGGAGACCATGGAAGAAGAGGTAGTAAAGGAACTGAAGGGCCGCCAGGACCAACAGGACCTGAAGGACCACAGGGTTTGCGTGGTGAACCTGGAGCACCAGGACCACCTGGCCCTATTGGACCAGATGGTAAAGAGGTATAATCATTTTCAAAATAATTATTGAGTATTTATGTATATATGTATGTGTGTATATAAAACATCTAAAAAAATCGTCTTTAACAGGGTGAGCGCGGAGCACCAGGTCCAAAGGGAGATGAAGGCAAACAAGGTTCTCCAGGCCCACGTGGTGGCCGAGGATCTATTGGTCCAGAGGGTCCAAAAGGATCGGCAGGTCCTCCAGGTTTTCCTGGCAACACAGGTGAACCAGGATTACAAGGCCCGAAAGGTAATAAAATTTGGTAACGATATAATATTGACAGTTTCAAATATTAATATTGTTATTTATCTTAGGTGACGCTGGGAAGGATGGCACTGATGGAACACCTGGACAGCCTGGACCTCCAGGTGATGCCGGACCAATCGGAAAACAAGGAGAACCCGGACTTCCTGGAAAGCCAGTAAGAATATGATCCATAAAATTATAAAGCACATTTCCATCCACTGTGTTTTTTTATTAGTTTTCTATTCTGTATTATTTTTTTCTAATAAAGCCATGTTATTGTTTAGGGTCCTGAAGGACCAGCGGGTTTGCAAGGTAGTACTGGACCCACAGGAGAAAAGGGAGATAGAGGTTTAAATGGTCCACCAGGTGAACCAGGATTACCTGGACCAGATGGTATTCCCGGCCCACCAGGATTACCTGGAATGCGAGGGTCGCCAGGACCAGCGGTAATAATTTATAATTTTATTTATTTTTATTTTATATCCTAATAATTGTCAACGTACGTGTAAGGAATTTGATTAATGTGTATTTATACTAATGCCTAAAAAAAGGGAGATGTTGGACCTCCTGGTAAATCAGGAGAAGTTGGTCAACCAGGAAAAGCTGGCGAAACGGGTGCACCGGGTCCAAAAGGTGAACGGGGTAGACGTGGACCAAAAGGTCACCGCGGAGAACTAGGTGGATTAGGAGCTAAAGGAGATCAAGGTGAAAAAGGTGATCGAGGAGTAAAAGGACCACCAGGCCCAGAAGGGAAGAAAGGAGATACGGTTAGTTTTAGTACACCCACATTAATTCATATATATCTAATATCTATGTATAAAAAACTACCATTATTTATTTCAATACTCGTTTGTAGATTAATTATTTATTATATAACGTTTTTGGTTTCTATTCGTGAGTATTAAAATATTGATATGGTTAGGGTCCAGTAGGGCCTATAGGAGTAAAAGGCAGCGATGGACTTCAAGGACCACCCGGGCCAGAAGGTCCGCCCGGTCCAAAAGGTTCTGAAGGTGTCGGTGGTACAAAAGGTGAGCCAGGCCCTGCGGGTCAACCTGGCCCACCAGGCCCTCCGGCCGAAATGCCATTGCTACCTCCAGAACTTTTATTCCAGAGAGAAGAATTAATAAATATGCATAATGCTCACAGATTGCAAAAAAGAGATATGTAAGTATACAAAATTTTCAAATATATTTGTTCAATAACATATAATTTAATTTATCGAAAACAAAAAATTTAAAATTTAGTGAAAAATTTATGGAGGAGTTAAAGGAAGACATGGAGTCTGATACTACAACTACTGAATCAGATTCGGAAACAAAATCGAAGCAAAAAGCTAAAAGAAAAGAAGATATTGGCCCGAAATTTTTAGACATGTATAGTTCTATATATGCAATGAGGCAAGAGCTGGACAGAATAAGAAAACCATTGGGTACCAAAGAAAATCCAGTTAGAACATGTAAAGATTTATACTATGGGCATCCACAATTCAAGGACGGTGAGAAAAATAATATAACGTATGAGTTAAAATAATATTAGCCAAATATATTATTTGATTAAAACTTAGCATGTTTTGTTATGAAAACATTTTATTAAAGAAACACAAAAGCAATTCACAAATAAAAACATGACACATTGACAAAAATTTCTATGCACTAAAAAAGCATTATTTTAAAATATCATTATCAGAAAAGTGATTTTTGAATTTAAACTGACCTTGAGATATAGCATGTAATGAATGTTCAGATTGTGTATGATTATGTAGTGGATTAGATGACCAATTTACATCTGACATCAAAGGCATGTCAAAAGTGGAAAATATATTCGTACTTCGGCTGCTTGAAGTGCTGGTTGAACTCGAGCTGAATGTACGAGAAGCAGACAAACGTTTTAAATCAGCAGCAAAATCGAGTCCGCTAGAAGAATGTCTTGCAGAGTTTGTTGTGAAATTACTATAACTGAATGAATTAAATCTGATACTATTATTTTCTTCTCCGAGATTAGGCTGTGAACGCTGTGTTAATATCGGTTCCGACATGGCATCTTCTTCTACGTCGACGTTCATTATTCTTTTTTTAAGCTGTTGTAAAATACCCGATAAATCGCCACCGTTCACATTATCAATTTGGTTTTTATACATTTTGATACGATTCCTAAGATTTTCGTGATGCTCCGTTTTGTAATGATGAACTTTGCGAGCAGCTTTTGCCCATTCATCTTTAAAATATTCTTTAGATTCGATTACACTGTTTAATTTATCTTCGCACGACCGAAGTTGCTTAAGTAAGCTTCTCACCTGATCCTTTTTTAAAGAATTTTTCTTAACTTCTGCAATTTTATTCCCCAACTGCTCATATTGTTGGGTTAAATCAGCATTATCTTTCTTTAGTACTTCGAGTCGATCCTCCAACAGATTTTTATCAATATCAATTAGTTTCACTTTATGATTTAAATCTTCTTCTACTCTGCGTGATGCTTCTTTTAATGCAACAAGTTTTGCTCCATACAAACGTTCTACTTCTGATAATTCAGACATCAGTTTGCGTTCAGTTTGCCTACTAGCTATTTCTGCGGCAATAGCTTCTTGATGAGCCTGCTGTAATTGCCCAGCTAAAGCATCACATTTGTCGATACTTTGCTCTAACTGACCTTGGAGAACCTTCTTGCGTTTTTCCCATTCTTCACTTAAAAAAGCCAAATGTTTCTTTTCTTTACTTATTAAAACTTGTCTAAAATAGTTTTGCTGACGTTCTTTCCAGTCCTCTAGCTCTTCCACAACGCGGTATGCGTTTGTCAAATCCATTTTCTGATCGCATGATGTGTAGTCCCCGTTGCCTTCGCCAAAATCACTTGTACCATCTATTAGAATCAATTCGTTCTTGTCTGTCATCACATACCAATTGTGCACAATAATTTCGCCCTAGATAGGCTTAAATTAAAAAAATAGACTATTATGAAATGTTGCATATGTGTTTCTAAAAAATTGTCAGTGCATTTCTGTTTTGTAGTCATTTGTTTACTATGAAGTTTTTGGATGTAAATTATCACTGATTCCCTTGCTTTGCAAAATAGCAAGAAATATTTTGAATATATATGGTTCGTCATTTTAGAAGGAAGTGGTATCATATTTGACATATGTGTAAAATTAGACAATAACGACTGTCAAATATTTATACATATTAAGTATTTGAAATTTGTAATATCAAGCGTGCATACACACATACACAAGGTTTAAGGATTCACCATTCTTTGCTCCGCGGACGAGGAGTCTGATTCAGAAAAGACATCTCCATAAAAATATAATTATTATTAATTATGGGATAGTTCTATTTTGTATATGCAAATTATATACAGTTTTGTTCAATTAAACCTTTGTATTATAGGATGGTATTGGATAGATCCAAATCTAGGTATGGGAGACGATGCAATCCACGTCTTTTGCAATATGACTGGTGAAGGAGAAACTTGTGTGTATCCAGATGTTCACAGCTCCCATATGCCAAATATTCCATGGCGAAAGGAAAATGAAAAGGACGATTGGTATTCAAATCTGCGCGGTGGATTCAGAGTAAGTTAATCAAGGATTGATAAATATATTACAAAATATTAAATTACAAATTATGTTCCAGATAACATATGAAACAATCGGTGTAGTCCAGATGACATTCTTAAGATTGCTTTCCCAAGATGTTTATCAGAATTTCACATACACATGTATCAATAGCGCTGCATGGTATAACACCAAAACTTATAGTTATGACAGTGCTCTAAAACTACTAGGAGAAAATGAAGTTGAAATAAGCTATGAAAGCAATGTTCTGAGACCTAATGTCTTAATTGATGGATGCAAGGTAAGATAACATAATTTTTTCACTATACTTTGATGAAAAAATCAAATCAAGTCTACATTCAATAAAGTGTTCAGTACATAATAAAATTCAGTAATTATTAGTCCCATATTCGTGATCTTTTTTCGTAGCACCGTATAATAGATTTGAAAGATATCAAAAACTATCGTTTTAATCATTTGTTTTATCTCAATGAAAATGGTCTTAATTCAAGAATATCTAAATGCAAATGGTTTATTCTACATGTTCTAATATATTCTTCAACAAAATTACAGCTTATGTAATGTTGTCTCAAAAATTTTGAAATTCACTATGCTGAGTGAGAAATTTATTATTTTTTATTATTTTTAATTTATTTATCGATTATTAATACTGATTTAAATCACATTATAAATATTTGCAAATCTTTCAGACTGGCAAGAGCAAAAGTGAAACCGTGTTCGAAGTGAGAACAAAAAAATTGAACTTTTTGCCAATAATAGATTTCTATCCAACTGATTATGGTTTGCCTCAACAAGCTTTTGGTTTTCAAGTGGGACCAGTTTGCTTTAAATAGCATATTATTCACAAAAAAATAAATCTAGTTACAAAATTATTCCTCATCGAATAATTACACAGAATCAAAATAAGTTACCAATAATAATATACAACTCAATTCAAATTATGAGCATTTACCACTAATAATTAGTTAGGTAATGTTACATTCGATTAATTAATAATAGATATTTAAGTTAATATAATAAATAAAATTGAAAACTCTTTGATTACTTATTTAGCAATTGATATTACAAAGCAAATTTCAACATCAATTACATCTATTTTAATATCAAAGAGTTTTCAAAATCAATGAAGCCAAATACTTAAACCAAAAATAGTTTAGTAGGAAAATTCGATAAAATCAAAATATATTTGTATATAAATTTTTATATATAAATTACTTTTTACAAACACTGCCATATAACTTATATATAATATTTTTAATGTTATGATAGGGTTTATTTTATTATGAAATCATAATGGCAACTACTATGATCCATAGAATAAGACAAACTTTGTATACATTTTTTATTATAAATACATAAAATATTAAAAATATTTATGAATATGATTATTACTTTAAAATGACATTTATAGTGGACATTTATAAATAGGAAAAAAACAAAAATCAATATTGAGTAGTTGGTTATTCAAAATTGTTAGTAATATTTTATAATCTTATTAGTATCTCAAGATGATGGCCATAGATCAACCATACATACCGGGGTAAGAAAAAATATTATTGTGTAAATGATGACTAAGAATCAAATAATAATTTTTAAATTAAAATTTGAAATTAATGTTTGAAAGTAAAACATGTATTAAAAGTATGATCACGTAGTGGAGAAAAGCAGGCAAAGTTAATTTTTTATTTACACAGTATAAAATTTTAAGAAATTGACTAAAACATAATGAAATTGGTTCAGTAATATAATGGTAATTTTCCCGGAATTGTCAATAATAGGAAAAACTTGCTTCGATTTCTAAAACCTTCAAAAATTCTTCAAAATATTATTTATTTATTTATTATTTATTCTTCAATGTTTTTTATTTATTTAATTTACTAACTTTTATTTATTTATATTGTTCTATCTTTTAAGTTTCAAGAATCATCGTCCTCCATATACTTATCGCATAGGATCAACTTATGCTTCACAAACAAAAAAAGCACTTGTAGAACCAGCAACTACACTGAGAGAAGATTTAATTTTGCCGAATAGATTAACTGATGATTTTACTGTAAGTAACTTTTAATTTAAATGAAGTACGTATTTTATAAAAGAAAAGACAAAAATAATAATCGGGAAAAACGAAAATAATAACTAAAGTTAACGGTCTCGTAAATGACAAAAATTGAGAAGTACTTTAGATTATTATGTTATGAGACGAGAATATTGAAAAGAAACGAAATTGCGTTAATAGCTCATTTTGAAAAGTTTAAATAAACAAGTCTTTATAGTACCTATGTTTATTTTTGTTGTTCTATTTATAAAAATAATTTGAGTTGTATGACGTAACTTTATTGCCAAATGTTGTAAATATTTTTTTTTCTTATAAATTATAATCTGTCTAAATAGAATAATGTTGATATATATATATATATATATATATATATATATATATATAGTTATAATTAATATTATAAATATCTGTAATGTGCTAGATAACCATAAGGTTGAAGCCAAATAAATAAATAAATAAATAAATAAAAAAATAGAATAATGTTGTAAAATGAAGTGAATAAAATTGTTTGATACTGTATTTTTTATATAACACTTATTCGAAAATTAGATAAAAACAACCAGTCTTCTTTTGAATTATTATCAGTCTATATAATACAAAAATATTTATTAATTGTTTTGGTATCGTAGCGGATGATTTAATTGTTTAGAAGTCAACCCAGTATATTGGACAACTATAGTTATCCTCTCCTTGCAGCCTCATATTATTTATTTATATATTTATTCTAAATTCTGAACAATTAAATCATCCGCTACGATACCAAAACAATTAATAAATATTTTTTATTTTATAGACCGATAATAATTCAAAAAAAGACTGGTTGTTTTTATTTAATTATCCAATATGTGTTATATAAAAAATACAGCATCATACAATTTTATTCACTTCATTTTACAACATTTGACAATAAAATTATCCAATCCAATCGGCTTCATATAGTTAATTATAATAAGTAATATAATGTAATGTAATGTAACTTAATAATGTAATCCTATGTTATAACAATACTTTATATAGTATTTTTAGCATTTATAATTTTATACAACAATGTCCCTGAACGACAGTTTCTACTTGAAATTATATTTGAGAATCATGGTCTCTAGTGAAAACCTGATATTTTACACCTTGATACCGAGCTGACCAAGGTTGAAATCCAAATCCGGAACTAGGGATTGTTCACGTAACTAGAATGTATAAATTACTTTTGGCGACGTAATTTCTTTTGAAAAAGCGTTTACTAGTATAATAGTGCTACAGTACAGTAGATACGAGTATATCATAGATCTTTATAATATAAAAAACACTCAAGATAAAAGGTGGATTTCATTATAAAATTTTGCCTCATGAATATTATATAATTATTGATAAAGAAATTAAATCTAAATTAATGAATAAATAGTTACATACACGAGTAACAAATATTAACATGAAAAAACTGCCAAAGGTGTACAGAAAATGTCTACGCGAAATCGATGTGGTACGATCGAGATATATGTACCAAAATCCGTCATATAAGCATGCAGCTCCCGGATTCGAAGGTAAAATTTCAAGTCTAATTAAATAATTAATCAAATACAATAATTGATATATAATAAATATATTTTATTAGGGCTCTTACCCAAACAACATGGGAGGTATGGCCAAAGAGCTCGTGTTGAAGCCATGGAAGGATTAACACCATTACAAAAACTGCAATCCCAAAATATACAAGCAACCCAAGCCGTGAAAAATCGTATGCCCAAGGCTCTCGAATTTAATCAATCTAAATGGATATCTGATATAGTATGTTTAAATGGATATAAATTTATGATATGGAATACAAGACACTGTAAATAAACCAGTAATTATTTTTAAGTACATACTTTGGTACTTATTTTGCGCAGATAAATATAATTCTAAAGTGATTCAAATGATTTTGTTTTTTTAGGAACAAAGAAGCGATTTTTCAATGCCTTTGCAAGTCGTGAGACCAGAAATGATGGGTGTGGTTACAACGGTACCAGTTTGCGAACCATGTTTACCGCCTCCAACTTATGATGTGCACCCATTTTTCATGGGCCGAGAGAGACCTGATCTTGGTATGTAACTAGTGGTGTGTATGGCATCGTGCCTTAAGGCAAATTGCTGGAACTTCTCGTACCGTAAATAGATTATTATAAATATTGTAGCATTGTCTAATATTTATATGAATTATATACACTGAATCGCAATTATTTTGTTAAAAAAGCAGAAAGTTCTTTGAATCATTCAAATCAAACGCTTAGTTTCCTCAAAAACTGCCATTTTTTGCACATTTAGCTCAGTATCTCCAAAACCGCTGAACCTGCCTTTGCCAAAAACTAATCACCTCTTCTCCCTATAATTACAAATCAAATGCTTTTTAGATCATTCAAATCGGATACTCCGTTCTCTCAAAAATTCGATTTGTATGTTCTGCACTCTTTGTTACGTATCTCGCTAACGGCTGGACCTGCCTTTGTCAAAAGCAAATCAGCACATCTCTCTGTCAATAGGAATCTAATGTTTTTTAAACCATTCAAATCGGTTGATCCGTGCGCCCGAAAAGGTGGACAAAAAAAATGCGGACATTTACGGATTACACTTTCTAACAAGCGTTTAAAGGTGAGAAAAGTCTGTTCGTTTTAACAAATGCTGATGGATGGAATCCCATAACCTTATAATGTCTAATAAATTATATATGTAAAATTAATTTTAAAATAAAATCATAATAATTAAATATAAAGATTTCACACTAAATCAATGTCTGTGTGCATACCGCAGAGATATAGACTTTTAAGTAGAACTGAACAAAAATATATAATAAAATAGAAAATAAATGAATTAGATTCATTAAATTTTCAAACAACACTTTTCACTATAATATAATCTGAAGTTTATTGAATTTTCAAAATTTTCATTTCAGTGTTATGTTTACATTCATAATGTATAAGTGAATCTATAAAAATGTAATATAATCTATAGAATTAACTTTCTATAGGGTAAGTTATAGTAATGGGCCGAAAATCGAAAATGATTTTTTTTGCATATCGTCACGTTTCAGAGGATTCTGAACATTTTGGCATACTTCAGAAAAAATGTATAAGTGAATCTATAAAAATGTAATATAATCTATAGAATTAACTTTCTATAGGGTAAGTTATAGTAATGGGCCGAAAATCGAAAATGATTTTTTTTGCATATCGTCACGTTTCAGAGGATTCTGAACATTTTGGCATACTTCAGAAAAAATGGATGTGTGTGTATATGTGTGTGTGTATGTGTGGAGACAATTTATCGTCGGCGATTTCGGGTGGATGGCTGAACCGATTTGAAAAATTCAGAAAACAATCGATTTCTATTGTAGGGAGATGTGCTGATAGTTTTTGGAAAGAGCTGGTCTAACCGTTACAGAGATACGGAACAAAGAGATACGGAGAAATCGAGTTTTTTAGAGAACGGAGTATCCAATTTGAATGATCCAAGAAACATTCTGCTTGTGTTGGCGAAACAATTGTTTTCCGAAAAAAAATTTCATGATTCAGATTTTAATTTTAATTCATGCTAAAGTTCTGAAGCTCACTTATATACTTAAAATAAATAATTTTACCTTTGTAATTCATTTTATTCTTATAAATATTAAAAAACGTTACAGTATTTATAATAATTTATTTGAAAAGATTTAATATTCTTCGATCGTTTCGTTATGGTACGGGAAGTTCTAGCAATTTGTCTCAAGGCACGTTGCCATACACCACTAGTTTTATTTCATTTTTCAAAATCAAAATAATAAATTATAATTCCTTCATAAAACCCACAGGTAAAGAAAAGTATAAACCGTACGAGTTCCCCAAATTCAGCGAAGGCCACCCAAATATTATACCGATGGCCATGGTAGAATTTACAAATAATTATCAATATAGACGAGGAGAACAGTGGTGTCCAATCGGAGAAGCAGGGGTCTCTTTCATTGGCGGAGGTGCCGATGGATATCCTATATACCATAAGAGTTTAGGCCAGTTGCCTGGATATATGGGACACATACCAGGAAATAATATCAGGTTAATATAATTGAAATATAAGCGCAGTGGTGAAATTACTTGAAAGATTTTGAAAATATGTTATAATTATAATGAATATTTTTTCAGGGTTGGAAAAACGTTTGGTAAAAACTCTATAGATGGAAAACGCTGGTTGCGTGGAGATTATTCTAATTGAAAATATAAATGATATATATTAAAAAAAAGCAACGACAGTTTATATTATAAATTCATTCAATGTGGTTTATATATATGTTCAATGAACTTTTCAAAACGAATACTTTGCGATAGATGTATAGATCTTTTATTCTAGAAAAGTACCAAAAGTATCAATCATTTATGTATAGATAGTAACTAGCAGTTTTTATAATAATTAATTAGTGTTCCCATTTTTATGTGTTTTTTTCATTTTTCAAATGAACTACTATAATAAAGACATTTTTATAATTTTGTTTTCAATTATTGAATGGATACCCAAAAACACACATATATGTATATGTATATATATATATATATATATATATATATATATATATATGTATGTATAAGAAATAAGAAATTTATAAATGTATGTATAAAAAAAACATATTTCTAATCATTTTATGATATGCGAAAAATATTACAATCACTGTAGAAATAAATAATATATTACATTATTATGTTAATTATTTCAATAATAATGTAAGCAATTATTTATTCTCAACAATTCATTTATTTTCCTAAACAAAAAATAGACATTTACTTAACTTTTACGTCAAAATATAAACGAATTAAATTATTAGTAACGTTTTTATAACTGACTTGATTAATAACTTACCATGAATCAGCTACAATTAGAATCCTTTTCCAGAGACCAGTTAAACAGTAAGTAAAACTGAATTGCAATCATATAATATTCACAATTAGTATCAAGTAAAAATTAATATTTGTTAAATAGTATAGTTAAACGTAAACAATCATTTTACTAACACAAATCACTTAAAACATCCACAATATACGCATGTATATCTATATATACATATGTATATCTTTTAAGTTTTAACAATACACAAGTTCTTTATCATGCAAAACCAAATCACATAATGCCCAAAACTTGAAATGTTATGGCTACAATTATAAAGCGTTCATTATACCTGTGTTTCTCAACATGCAACTTTGAATTTTGATTTATATATCATGGATGTATTTCATAGTTCATTTGAAAAGAACAAAACATGAATTCCTCATTGTGTTTGGCCTAATTTTGATCGTGCTATAAAATTCTGAAACTAATAAAACATTTTCTTCAATCACACAAAAACAAATATTGAACTCACTAAAATGTTTTAATGTTGGTTAATAAAAATATAAAACCCCACTAGGGGCGTATGGCATCGTGCCTTAAGGCAAATTGCTAGAACTTCCCATATCGTAAGGAAATGTTAAAAAAATATTGAATGTTTCCAAATAGATTATTTTAAAGATTTTAACATTGTCTAATATTTATAAGAATTAATTCTTATAATATTATATATAATTCACTTATATATAATATAAATTAATATTATATTATATAAACTGAATTGCAAAGTTTAAAGTATATTAAAACTTTAGTCAGAATTAAAATTAAAATCTGAATTATTTCCGATATACAAAAAAATCGAAAAAAATTAAAACAATTTTTTTTCAAAAGAAATTTTTTTTTCCAAAAACACGCACGCACACACACATCCAATTTTTCTGAGGTATATCAAAATGTTCAGAACCTTCAAAACGTGAAGATATGCAAAAATTTTCATTTTCGATTTTCGGCCCATTACTAACTGCCCAACGGGAAGTTAATAAACATATAATACTAATCAAAATTAATTCAAAATTTAGTGGGCAAAATTAGTTGATATCAATATGAAATATTAGATTAAAATCATACACATATTCATTATAATTACGCAATTTATCGCAAAAATTGAAGTTTAATTTTAGCAAAATTAGTTGATGTCAATATATAATATATAAAATATTCAAAACTACTTATTCATAAACCAAAGTACAATTTAAGCCAATTATTCAATTTGTAAACTTGTTCTAAATTGTGAAATTTATTATTTCATTCATTAAATTATTTGTGAAAAAAGACAAAAACTATGCATATGATTTTATTTATTAATTCAATTTAGTTGCATTTATATTAGCATGTTTTTGTACATCTAACATAAAATTTAGCAAAAACTTAGCTAAATTGTGTTTGCATCGCAATTGTAGAAATAATGAAATATTAGGACTTACTTATAATTCCACAAAGAGTTTCATATTCAGTATAAACTATCACATGATTTATTGTCACAAAACAAAATGATCATTAATCAAATGATCAACAACAACTATTTGCCAATCACACACTTCACTCAGCACTATTTTTCATAAAGCACAATGTATAAAATATATGAATTTCCGATCAGGGTACTCGCACCGAATGGGCATTATTTTAGAGAATGATTTTTCAAACTGTGGCCTTCCTCAACGAACTGGCCATTGGTCAGCATGGACACTTACCGGTATTCCCCGAGAGGATGGAAGTTCAGGTGCCACCGAGAAGTATCTTAATAACGTTGGATTACTTCCTGGATACCTTGGATTTGTTCCTGGATTCAAAACTAGGAAAGTTTAAATAAAAAAATATTATTTTTAGGCAATATTACATTACTCAATTTTTCACTAAACAAAAAAAAATATATTAATAAACTAGATGGCATTTTGTCTTAAGGCAAATTAATAATCGATGTAATCAAGAAAAAATTAAATTTAATTATTTATATAAAACTTTCTACTACAAAAACTCATACCTGTAACTGAATTAATTAAGGCGGCCCATTTATTCCATGAACCTCCATATATTCTAACATATTAATAATTTTTTGAGAACCAGCCACTATTCATAATACGCGTATAACATTTTAGGATGATTGTATAGAATATAAATTTTAGATTTAAAGTTTCATAAAAAAAACGGCGAATTTTTTTTTTCGATATTTTGTTACGAAGAAATGAACGCAATCATGACTCAACCGACCTTTTCCAAGAACAAATCAGCTCAATTTCAAAATGATACTTTCCAACGATTGTTTAAATTTCAAAATCAATTTAGTATTTTTTGCGAAAGCATGGACAATTTTGCACTTTTTTAAAAATTCTAAAAAGAATACTCAGGCGATCGCTTCGCAAAACTAATCAACGAGACCTTGTAAATTATTTATCAGCATTTAATAATTTTGTTTATCAATATTTATATCATAACAATTTCTAACTTTACATTATCTACTCTACAGATTTGGAAGAACATTTGGGAATGACACGAAAAATGCAAAACAATGGATACACCAGTAATGGACATATAATGTGCATATTGTATAAAATTAAATCTCTGTTTTTATTTTGAAATTTGTAATTAAAGATATTTATAATTTTTTATCAATATAAAATATTTTTTTTATAATTTTTGTTAGTTGCATTCTCAGTCAAAATATGATAAGGTGTAGCTAAATCTACTTGTTTGGTTTTTTACTGTTTACCATGACAACCATGGAAATTACTGAAAAAAATCACAAAATAAACAATATGTAAATTTTAGATATGTTACAATTTAATATAGAGCCAGTCAAAATTAAAATTATTTTAGAGTTTTCTATCTAAGTTATGTATATTTTTAATTTGATTTAAGTATATCAATATGGCTAACGTTCCAGCTGTACAGCTTATTGAAATTCCAGAACCCCATTTGATACCAGGGTGAGTTAAATAGAAATATATCATTTTTATTTATTTATCTAACTTATAGCTAGGTATTGTAAAATGGAATATAATATATACTTTATATACTTTTCTATAAAATATAATTTAACATAAAGAATTTATTTTAAAATGATGCAAAATTTCTTTCGAACACAAGTAAAAATATGTTAAAAACTTATTATTTCGTAAAATTAATATAATAAATTGAAATAAAGGAATCTATAAATTTTGCAATTTTGCATTATTATTATAGATTAAAAATATTGAATTTATAAAAAACGATATAAGTTTTTTTTCTATTATATTATAAATATATATAATATAAGTATATTTATAAATCAGTTTAACAATAGTGGATACATATAGATTTAATAATATGCGATAAAAAATATTAATGTTCTTATATATAATACAGTCATATCTTAAAATATAATCTTTGTTTATATAATTACATACATAATTTATTTGATACATAAATTATAATTTAAGTTTACTTACATCCCATTACTATTTATTGCTTTTGGATATCCCCTGAATTCTAATTTAAACATTGGATAGAATTCATAATCAGAAAACTTAACAACAACACTGCCTTTATTATCTTTTACAGCTGTATCATATCTGAGTTTCGTTCTACGATCATATATATCTGGCAATATCATATTATTATCACCATTGCAGCAATTGCTCATAAGGACTTCAAATACAATCATCACTTTTACATTTACTTTTTTATCACAGTAATGACTAGAATATGCAGCTATTTTACTAAAAGATGCGCCTTTCCCGTACCTATTTCCTAAACATAATACAAATATGCTTCAAATTGTAAATCAATATTTTTCATACTTTTGATACCTACTTACCTATTTTATTGCCATGACGTCTCCAATCTAAATTGTATTTAAAAATGTTGTCCAAATTGGAAATATTAGTTCCGTGAAACATATATTGTACATTTACGTTCCCATATCTTGACTTCATTTCTTCTTTTTTCAGTAAATATTGACCATATAAGGTTGGATTTTGACACCGAGAAATACGTAACAACTTGAAATGAAAATTATGAACATGTAATTTGAAAATATAGATTAAAAAATCAGGCTTTAGCCATTCTTTAGTAATCTTTCGGCTCTAACAAAACATTTGAAAAATAGAGCTTATGAAAAGATATAAATACATACTGTTAAGCCTTGGTTTTTTGTTGTACTGTAAAATAATTTTTTTATTGTCATATAATCATCATCAAATTTTTCAAGTAACACATTCTTATAAACATAGTTTTCATTTACGTCATGCCAAGGAAGTAAGTCATCATTAAAAACATTAATAATCAAAGACAATTTCCATGGTTTTTGTGATACATATCCTCTATCCACTTGCTCGTAACTTCTGCAAATAAATTTTTAATGAAACCTGTTAACAGTTGAAGCATTGCAATATTATATGAAATAGTCACCTTTGCTGTTGATATCCTAGATTAGATATTTGTTGATGTCTTAGATCAGATAATTGTTGATATCTTAGTTGAAATCTGAACACAACCAAATATGTATAATTATGAAGCAAAAAAACAATAATGCTTATAACTTATAAGTTATAAATACAAAGCAATATTTTAGGAAATCAGTAAAAATAAAACATGTTCCTTTACCTTTTCTCCTCAATTATCCTAAAATAAATAGTAAAGTATTAATAAATTAAGTCGCATCTCAAATATAAGATAAAGTTTAAGTAATTACCTTTGTCTGTATAAATTTTCTGCCTCTCTGAAATACAAAAAATTGAAAACAATTAAAGCCAAAATTATGAAATACAGAAGTACAACCATTTTTAAATTTGCACTATTTATTAGCATATAGTATTAAGTATGATGCGTATTTCATTTGAATTTTTATTTTTATAAGTATATAAGAGATATCTAAACATAAATATCAAATAATATTTTGTATCAAATAATTTTTTTTTATAATAATCACCTTTGCCAATAATCTTCCAAATCTTGCCTAAAATACAAATAAAATGAGAATATTAATATTCGAATTTAAGATGTTGTTATAATTACCTTCGCCAATATTCTTCTAAAGCTTGTCGCCTGTAATTCAAACAAATTGAAAATTTTTATGTTCAAATTTAGTAACGTTGAAACATTATGAAATAATTTCATAAATATTGTAATAAACGAATGCTTCAAATTGAAATGTAAAAGCTATAATTTCCAAACACGTGCAGTCAATATTTTAAGATAAATAGATGTATCACATGAATATCAATTGTTATGAAACTCTTATCAATTTATTAAAAAATCCAGAAAATATCAATTAAATATATATATATATATATATATATATATATATATATCTTTTCGAACAATTAATTCAATAAATAAAAAACAAAATATTATATATATATATATATATATATATATATATACAAATACATATTTTATATAAATATAAAGTCATTAATAATTACCTTCTCTAAAGATTAAAAATAATTAATGAAATTCAACAGTTAACAAAACAAAATATACACAAATGAATAACACACACCTTTGGTCTTCCTGAGATTTCGTTGACGATGCAAATAAATTACCCATTTTTTACTTATACACAATAATAGTAAAATAAAGAATATAAACTATCAAGGGGAATTAGTTTTACAAATTAACAAATAAAATTGAGGCTCCCATAAGCGCAGATAAATATATATATCTACATGACAAAGCGCACAGTTAAACGGAGGATTCCCCGGCGGACGAAATGACGTCACTAGTGCATTGAACAGTGTTCGCGCAGATTTCAAATAGAGTTGCTTCAAGATAAAACAAAGTTTTGGGAAAATATAATTCACAAACTATTACACGATTACTTTCGATATACGTATTATTAATTTGTAAAAGTTCTGTATCATAAATAAACCGTTAATAATCACATTAGTATAGGTAAACCCCCGTTTTCTAAAAAACCTGTATATTTAATTAAAAGTAAACTAAGCCAAATAAAAGTATTTAAATAATTTATTTGTATATATGTTTCTTAAATACAAATACTATACAAAATTAAAAGTTCACATTTAATTAAACATGTCTTAATTTAGACATTTATATCCTTATTATTATATAACATATTCATTATTAAGCTATAATATCTCACAATCCAGTTGATTGTTTTTTTATCCCCAAAAAACATGCACCATTTGCATTTACATCGCCTCCTAGTATAAAAATATATAAACTATTTTTCGTCATGTTCTCCCAAATCTTTCCTACCCATTTATCTATTTTTTTCAGAGTTTTCTCTATTTTTTCTGATACCATTTTGTTTTTTGAAATTTTTATGTGTGAAATGGTAAGTTTATGCTCAAGACTCCTTTCACAGGTATTCTTGATAACTTCTTTGTTTGTATTACTTGGAATACATTTTATAATTTTTTTTTCATCATTTAATAAAAAGTTTTCATATTGAGATATTGTATCTGGGCATCCCAGAATTTGTGCAGAAGGTAAGTGACCAGTTTTATGGCAGCGTGTAACTTGATTAAATATACTAGTAGAGTAATCATTCTCAGGATTGTCTCTATTTGAAAGCTCCTTATATTGCTTATTTGAATTCTCAAGAACAGCATCTCCAAAATGAATGCCTTTAGCTAGTTTAAGCTGTGTTAGTTTCAAGGATGCTGAGCTGTCTTCAATAGAATCGTGTCCAGATGAAGCTGTTTGAATTGCTTGACCCAGAAATTCCCTTACAAGCAACTGTAATTTTGATTTCCGACCCCTGTTTCCAGTTATGTTAAAAATTACACTTGTATCAATCACATATGGATGCATCATTTTCAATGCAAGTAAATCAGAGTTAAGTGATTGACCTACTAGTATGGCATCAGAAGGCAATATTCGTCTAATGTCACGATGGACATCTTCAATACGTGTAGTAACATTCTCCAACATCTTTTTTGTGATTCCAGAAAATTGAGTTACATAATCTATAATTGGATTGTATGGCTTAACAAATGTTTCATAAACCACTTCAAACTTTTCATTGACCATTGATACTCTTGTAAGTTCAGAACCAAATCTTGTCTTACACATTTCACAATCTAGACCAAACATTGGTGATTTAGCTGTAACTTGAGTATATGAATCTTTGGTCATGATAAAATCAGAATATCGTTTTGCCAGTTCACCTTTTAATGGCAGTGGATATCCTTCTTCTACCATTTGCCAAGCTGATAATAGCAGTTTAGTCCGAGAAAATGTATCAGTTGGAGGTAAATCATCCTGGTGTGTATTTTTAACTTCTTTACTTATTGGGAATACAGCTCGCATCATGACCATAAGATCTTTGGAATTTTTCATGGCAGTTTCTAGTGTTCCAAACTGTTTCAGTAGTTTATCCTTCTGGGTCCCTGTTAAGGGAACAGATGCTAATTCTTCAATAATGCTGTTTTCACTAACTGCAGGTGTAACTAATTCAACAGATGTATTAAATATGTTATCTATAGTCTCAAATGATGATTTATGTTCTAAATAATCATTTAAACTGACCCCTTCAGCAACATTTACAACAATTTGTGATAAATGATTCCACTTTTGTAAATGACACCAACGGGAAGGCAGATAAGGAGAGTGATTTCCTAGTATAGAATACAAAATCAAATGCTGTATATCAGTTAAAAATAAAGGTATTCGGTTCTCAGGAAGTAAACATAAAGCAGCTTCAACACCTGCTTCTTTTACATTTAATCGTGGTATATTCTTCAATCTCAGTTTTCTTTCTCTTAATTCTTGTTTAAGTTTTAAATATTCTTCACCTGATACTTTAGGCTTTTCGGGGAAAAATGATGTTACAGTACTATTGTATTGGTTTTCTCTACTCAGGGCAGCATCTTCTGAAGCCACATCATTTATTACTGTTTCATTGCTTTTTAATTTTAATTCTTGATCATTGTTACAAATTTTTAAACGCTTGGATGGCACGTTATTGTCAAAACTGTGTTCTGATTCAGAGTTGGATATGATCTCACCTTCCTCCTGCTCAACGTCTTGAATTTTTTTTTTTCGTGCTGCCATTGTATTTCCACCTGATTCATATTCTTGTTTATTCATTGAATTATTTGCAGCATATTCTTTGTGGTCTTGAAGCGTGTGAAATAATGTAGCCATCGTAGGTACTTATAAGAAAATTTCAAATGTATTATCATACATTGCAAAAATAAAATCTTTTTACCGCGCACGTTAACAAGTTCTTGCAAATTAAATATTTTTTTGTTTGACTTTTGAAACACGATGTTGGAATATATTTTAAAAGGATATTGTCATTATTTTCGACTTTAATATAACCTGAAATTTAAATACGGCTTACTTCATTTGTAAATGACAACTTTGTCATTCATGTGTTTTAAAACAATATTTCTCACTAACGCAAAACAAATAAAGTTTGTCAATTTTTCAAATGAAAAACGTCAATCAATTTTATCAAACATATACTTTTTCATGTTAGATTTGTACATTTTGTAGGTTAGACATATGTTGCACAGTAGTGTTACCAGAGATAATGTATGACAAGACTTAAGCCGATCTAACGGCGGTATAAATTCAAATCCCAAATACATGGGAATAAAAATGTTAAAATATAAATGAAATATGCTTGAACCTATAAATTAAGAATTATCAATATTTTTTACACTAATTTATGAGATTTTCATTCTTGGAACAGGTACATGGGTCATGTTCCAGGATACTCGAACAATGTGGGCCACACTTTTGGCAAAACAACACAAGAATTGTTTGTTGATCCTAGTATCACTCATTCTGAGAAATTGGTATTATCAGATAAATATGCAAACGATTACAAGGTATTTCTCTTCAATCCAAATGAAATGTGTATTTTTTGTAATTATGTATTATATAAGTTTTCACCTAATAACTTTTTATATCGTCTCAGTTATATGAGCCCGATATGGAACTTGTGATAACAGCACAAAAAAAGTTTATGCATGGATATCCGGGGCATCAACGTGAGTTACAATTAACTCTATGATAAAGACGAATTATTATTTAATTCAATAATTATATTTAATTATAGGAAGTGGACCATTATTAGCAGGAGTATCTGGTCGCCCCATTCCTCTTACATTAGTAGGTGAAAACGTGATTAAAAGACAACCGAATATTTATATCCCAGCAGATAAAACTATTGTAGATAAAAAGGTATATGTGAAAAATATTAATCCTTGATTTAAATGCTGTAATTAAATCTCAAATGGTAATATATTAACATTAATTTAAGAATGAAATGGTGAAACCTGATCGAAAATCTTATACCAAATGTATTGAAGATGACACACCTAAAGAAAAAAAAGGTTTGGTTTTATATAGAAAGTGTTCAGGAATTATTCCCAACTATCTTGGTCATATCCCAGGCGTAAATCATAAGTATGTCCATACAATAAATTCGAAACAATTTGGAAAGTTTATCAATTCAATTTAACATTATAGTTTTGGAAAAACATTCAGCTTAGCTTCTACAAATGCTAAAAGAGGTTTCAAATATAAAGAAGGTCGCAGTTTTAAATGATAAACTAGCACTTATATAGCCATATTGTAAACTTAATTTAATATCTTATAATAAATTCACATATAGTAAATAATATGTTATGCAGCCTTTATTACTTCAAATTATACATTTTCCGATATAGGGCTTACTTTAAAAATCAACAGAGATTCAATTTATGTGGAACTGCACACATTTGTATTAAACAAATATGCAATTAAAATAAATGTTACATAACATCAGCTTATATACAAAATAAATCATAAAATTATTAAAAGTACTAAAATAATTAGACTTTATGTAAATTTGTGATTCCTTATATTAGCATAAGGTCATGGTACTTAAAAGCTCTATATTAAGCAATTGTTTGATACAAGTGTTAGATAATACACTAACATTTATTGGCAAGTTATTGAATATGTGATACTATATTTTATAATAATATAAGAATATATTTGTAATACATAAATATTGCGACTTCAGCGTGTTAGCATTAAAAAGATTCATATATCATACCAATATCAATTGAAAAGATTTGAAACCTACAAAAATATATCTACACCGCGATCTTCTAACATTATAATAACATATTGTGCATTTTTAAATACATACTACAAAATAGTCTCTAAATGCATACAACTTAGAAACATGAATTGATAATAGGCATATTATTCATTACGGAATGCTAAGAAAATTACAATGAATGTTAAAAAATACTGTATTCTCTACTGGTGCATTTCAATAGTATCACTTATTGAAACTCTTAAGATATTTTTAAAGTGAAACAACAAACATAATATTTTTTCAAATTGCAAAGCCATGTGAATATGTGAATTTTGAAAATAAAGGTTTCTTAAGGATACTCATTATGTTTTGCATGAGTATTAAAATCAATAAATGATGCAGAATACTTATACCGAAATATGCATATTTCATGCATATGATAATAGGCTATGCATCAATATAAATATGATATAAGATACAAGGCCTATTATCCATCAAAATTTCATGCATTGCATTACTAATAAAAATAGTTTGCAATTTAACATTAGCATCAAATGTGTTTGTAAAAATAACATTTAACACATTCATGTTAAGACACAGAAATCCAATGAATATCACAAGCCTAAAGAATGTAGAGTCCAGTATCAATATTTCTTTTGCATTATATATATTTAAAATTATGCTTTCTTAAAATTATGATGAATTAAACTTTAATAAGTAGAGGAAACTTAAAACTAAAAATTATATATTTTGAATATGAAATATATTAAATACTTTATGTATGATTAGTTTTTTTTTAGATCTGTTTAAAAGATTTGAGTACAAATTCTAATACATTTTTATTAGAACATTTGACTAGTCCAAATTAGATTGACGAGACAAACAAGTGCATTAATGAAGATCACAATGAATTAATATTAGATTAGATCTTTTTGCATATAACAAAAACTGTTATAAATTATAAATGTTTGACAATTTTTGCTCTTATTTATCAATGACCACACAATAATAATTGGAGGAATTATTAACCTCTCAACTCATTGCATTGTTAAGCTGTTACAACTAGCAGAATCTTTAATCGGTGGCATTAATTCGCTACTTTTTATCTCGCAACTATTTCTGTTTGGATTTACAGTAATTTTCTTCTGAGACATACTATCTCTCCGTAAAACTTCTTTGTTCAGAAGATGCTTGAAATATTCATTTTCTGAAAGTAAAGATGATGATTTTTCTTTCAAATTTGGCAGGGTCTTTGAATCTCTTCTCGTCATTTGTGGAGAATGATTACTGTGAGTATAACTTTGAAATGTTGGTTGGTCCCTTCTTGTCGCTACTTGCTCTTTAATAGATGTTAGTGTTTTACTTAACCAAGGTGGCCAATTATTTCGACTATTTTGTATTTCAGCCAGTGTAGCATTAAGTTGATGATTCAAATCCTTTAGAATAATTATAAATAAATATCACAAAAAGGTCATAAAATACAATTAAATAAAAATAATTTTACACTAAAATAATGTGAAAGAATTATTTATATAATATAATATTGCTAATTAAAACAATAATTCATTATAAATAAAGATGTTTTAGAGATAAACTAATTAATGCAATGATGAAATTGAACTCCAAAGTTGTGAGCATATATATCATTAATATATTTTTGCAAAAATAAGCTTCTCTAAGATTTTTATTATCCACTGTCTTATGTACCTGATTTTTACATTCAGCTTCCACATGAGCTAATTTTGTTTCAGCTAACTCCAATTCCAACTCACGAACTCTATCAATGACTCTTTCAAAATCATTACTTGATACTAAAAAATGTATAAATCAAAAATTAATACAAAAATAATTTACAACATCATCCTTCCAAACTTACTGTTTATTTTATTTGAGACTTGTTCATTTTTTATTTCTAATGGATGCCTTATTGTTTCATTTGTAGTAGTGTTTGCATTATCACCACATGCCTTATTACATGTACCACATGTCGAACACGCTTCAGTACGTTTCTTATTCAAAACAATAATACATTGAAAAAATACTTCATTTAATTCAACTTTTTATTTAAAATATCTGCAAAATTCTGTAAACCACTTACCCTCAGTTCCTCCAATTGAGCTTTAGTAGAAGAAAGTTGCTCATCTTGCCTTTTACAAATTTGCTTATATTCATTAATAATAGCAACACTACGTTTATTTTCAATTTCAGATTTCACTAACATATCTTTAACCTGAAGATTAAAAAAATAGATAAATAGAAATGACATAATATAATGTAATACTATGAAAAATTTGAATAACCTGAGTCAGTTCATCAATCAGCATACGTTTTTCTTCATCATTTCGTAATGCTGCAGATTTTAAGTTGTCAATTTCGGTACTGCATTTTTCCTCCCGATCTTGATCCGCTGAAACATGAGAATTTTATATTTTATAGAATTTAACTATACATTGAAGTGTAATTTGACACCATTCTAGAATATTCACATTTTTACCTTTCAATCTTAAAAATTCCATTTCATATTTCTTTAATTTTTTTAGTTTTATACTGCAAGCTGTTTGGATTAAATGTTTAGCAACTTCCTCAGTTCTACATTTTTTAGGCAAAGATACCCTAAAATACTTTAAAATTCCTTCAAAATCTAGTTGAATTAAATCCTTTTTGCAGTAATTTAATAGTGCCAATGCTATTTGAAACAGTGTGTTTACTCCTTGCAGCAAAAATACATCAATAATATTGAACACAAAATATAAAGGAAATCTTGCAGTAAATAGTGTTAGAAACCATTGCGAGGCAAACATGTGAGTTGCAATGCCTGTATTACAGAAATGTTGCCACAGACTAGGTAATTGTTCCTGTAATTATGCATTCTTTAGTACTTTTGAAATGATGCAAAAAAATTAATTAACATAATTAACATACTTCCATCAGACTGTTTAACTGGTATAATCTTAAGTATAAATTTTCAAATCCATCTTTGTATAAATCTCTCAAACCGTAACCATACATAAGACGAACCAAAACACAAAAAGCTTGTTCTTCTGGCATCTGAAATAAAAAACAAAAAATATTAATGTAGTTAACAACTGAAAACAATTAAAAGTTTAATAGATACATTCTAAAATAAAAAACATTGGCAATTAGAAAAAGTATTTGTTTGCTTGGTGAACTTTTAATATTTTACATGTTTCAAGATTTATGGCTTCCTTCTACATCTAAAAGTATTATTTATGGTTTATTTATTTAAATCACTTACATGAAGTAGAAGTGTTGCTGCGAGGAAGCTAAGACCTTGGCAGTAACCCACTTCTGAATCATATACTGCATAAGCCTTACTAACTCTATAAAGAGAATCTTGCCCTAAACCACCGGCTTCTCGGAAGAAATCATGGGCTGGAAATGTTCTATTTATGTCGCGCTGTATAACATTTTCGCAGCTACTTTCCTAAAAATAAACAAAGAAGAAATTCAATTGTACATTATGGCAAATGTTTTTCTCTGTGCAGTATTTTTGTGATCGATTATATTACACTTAACACACAGATACAATATATATATATATATATATATATATATATATATATATATATATACAAATGCATCAATTTTACCTTGGTTATAAGAACTCTGTATCGATCCATCATTGCAATATTATTTTCCGAATTTGCTAACCGTTGCCAAACTTCTCCCCTCAAAGCCTCTGGTATACCCATTCTGACTAGATTAGCTAGTTGTTTTGGTTTTTGATTACCTTGCCAAGCTTTTAAAACTTCAGCCCAATCCTCCAGAACACTTTCACAGCATTCTTTTGATACTTCACCAGTACCACTCAACAAAGGCTCATCACCATCTAATAAAAAAAGAAATTCACCGAAAATGTAATATTAGTGAACAAAAACTATATTTAATCTATTTTATTAAAGGTATTAGAAATTAATGTATAAATGTAAAAGATGCTTGTTAGTTTTGAATTATACAAAATTGATAAAGTGCACCACTAAATAAAAATACAAACAATCAATAGTTTAAATTGAAAATAAAATTATAATTTTCACAAAAAATCAATGAGAAAGATTCTAAAGAACTTACCAGAACTATCATCATCTTTTGGGCTCAATGTATCAACGTCAATACTTGGGAAGCTGGGAGATTTTATAAGGTTTGCAAGATTTAATGTTAAATTCAAGCGGTTACGATCCAATTCTCCTGATGTTTCTATATTCAATACTTCAAATGAAATTTCTGTAGGATCAGAACCAGGCACCTAGTAAAATGTAAAATACATATTAAATACAAATAATAGTATATATTTACAAAAGTAAACTGAATAAGTCGTTACCTCCTTCAGATTTACAAAAAATTGCTGTATAAGTGGTCTTTTAGAAAAATACCAGAATCGTTCATTTTGTGCAAATATTTTCACTGGTGTCTCTATTAGAAATCTAAAATGTTACATACACAAATTTAAAAATATATCACAAAAATAAATGAAATAAAGATAAATATTGACCTTAATGGTTCCCTAATTCCTTTAATCACAAGATCTACAGCGACAGTAATATATTCTTTAGCACTTTCGACATTTAGAGGTTCAAATGCCGATTCCAAAGGATCCCATTGAGCTCTTATATTATAAGATGGTGAGTCAGGTGGTCCACTGCCCATTGATATCTTTGAAATGAAACAATCATACAAAAATAAACAACTAAGAAATTAACAATTAAACGGCCATAAAACTTCTGTTTAAAATTTACAATAATATGGTTTAAAATAGAAATTCAAGTACCATTTCCAGCAGTTGCATATCTCCGTGGCGTACATGTCTCCCTGGACTCAACAAAACACCAAAACATCTATCAATTTCTAATAATCCTGAACGATCTTTTTTATTTTCTTCACCATTTAAACCATGAGCTGAATGTACTTGTTGAACTGATATACAAATTTCTTTGTCCACATTGCATCTAAGCTTAAAATAACTTCTATCTTTTGGCACTGCATGATATTGACCCTATAAATATTATTCTTTTAAAATTTTGTATTTCAATAATTGATAAAACTTTAGATTAAACATTTTCCGCAAATATATATATTTATATCCTGCTTAATTATTAAATTTGCAGTGAAGCACTGCAAAGCACATATCATAAAATTCAGTTTCAATTGAAATATTTGACTAAATAAATAATTTTATTGAAAACATTAAAATGCTCTATAATTATTACAATTTACCTTAGCATCTTGTTCTCTGATTTCCATATTAACTTCAAAAACAAACATAACTTGTCTTCCAGGCTGAGGCTCTAAACCAGATTGTGAGGCCAACATAGCGTTACCGGAAGCGCTCAGCATAGACGAATTCATATCGCTAGCGCTTGCAAAACTGGATGCCATTGATTTTGGCACTCTTTGAAAAGCCTTTGCAAAACAGCCTATGGAAGATATTAATATTCTTACAATATCAATTTTATATTTGTTGGATTATCAAAACATGAGTACATTAAGAATATCAAAAACTTTGAAGTACTTTAAAATACTCAATAATTATAATGATTGACAGAATTTTTTAAATACATTTCAATTTTGCTTCTATCTATTGTAGATTTTTAAAGAATGATAATTGTTCTAATTAATTTTTAATAAATACATTTAACTTACTTGAAACTTGGCCGACAGCTTCTGCTATGTCACATCTAAATACATGACATTGAAACACAGCACACTCTTGGCTTTCACCATGTGACCAAGTAAATGCAAAACAAGCAGCATCAGCACTTCCAGCAGCTCCTCGAGCATAGAATAAAATCCTATGTATTTCATAACGGGCCATCACAGAATTATTACTTCCATCATAAAGGCTAAAAAGATTGTATATACATATTAGTTATTAGTTAATTATTTGTATATATATGCATATATATATATATATATATATATATATATATATATATATATATAAGATCATAGAGAAAGAACACATGTAGAATGACAACATTGATTCATTCCACATACATCAATAATAAGTTGTTAATTAGTTTCGAACATTGTTGGTTTTTCTAATTATTCCAAATAAGAACTTGTTAGTTGTATTAAAATCTTCATAAAATGAGATAAATAAAAATAGCAACATTGTCCATAAGTCTTCAGATAGAATTTCCTTTACAAACTCATTTTGGATAATTAGATCATCTAATACATATGTAATTAATCAATGTTCATCATTAATGAATTGCACTGTCAAATTTGAATATAAATAAATCATGAATTAAATGCAGATACACATGTTGTTTACTCATAGCTAATTTAGTGCATAAATACTATTTGACTCACACAACAACTCCTTCTGAACAGGTAGGTACACTGACGCTGACTTTCAAACCCCCAGGAGCACTGTTTAATACAGACATGTTCCGATGAATTTCAGCCTCACTTTTTGGTGCATTGATATTAGCAGCTCCCAAATAGGTGACCCCATTAAAAACTGTGCAATCTTGGTCAATATCAGACACCGCTAGGGAATCTAAAATGATGACAAGAATGTAAAATATGCAATATCATGCATAGATGTATTAGATTTTATTGCATATAAATAATATTCTAAGAAGTTGACTATAATTTTAACTACACATACCGTCATCATCAGTTTCCAATGTTTCAGGTTTCATGTCATCTGCTTTTTCAGTTGCAACAGAGCTGACATGTTCATCCTTGTTATCATAAAAGGTGGATTGACCTACTTTTCTGGCAGCATCAATTTTGATATTTTCTGAGTCCATTGCTGAACTAGATCCAATAACACGTATAGAAGAAGATAAACTTTGTGTATTCCTACCAGAATTTACATCGGGCTCATATAAAACTTCAGTCAGAGTTTGTTTCAAATCATCCAGGTTTCCATGGGCAATGTTAAGAGTAGGAGTATTTGGTAAGTTTGGACTGCTGACTGGTTTTTCTGGCACAATTTCAAATTCTTCACTCGATATGATGGAATCTGCTGATGTTATACTTAATCTATCCTCCATAACGTCTTAATGTTCTGATATAGCAAGTGATTTTAGGTTTGGTAATAATCAGAATTGTCAACGCTTTGAGAAATAATTGGTATTGTCACAAACATTGTACTTATCTTAATATTTCCAGAAAGAATTAGTTGAATTATAAAAACAACTCAAACGTCAAGTACAGCAGATCTTGGCAATGTATAGCAGTGAACGTATATATTTAATTACTATATGATATTAACATCAACCAATTTCAAAACGCTTACATTTCTGAAATCTTAATATTATTCGAATTACAGAAAATGTTCAAAATTACTTTATTATTTACGCCACACTTAGGACGTGAATAACGTATACACAAGTGACAGTTGACAGCTGTCATGTTTACAGTGGATTCGCCCGGAAAACTTCGGTGTTGCCATATGCTAATGATTAGGGTACGATCTCACCATTGAATTTTGACGAATATAAACGACTTTTCGTAGTCTTACACAATATTTTAGGATGTTTAGGGATATTCTATAGTGTAGAATTTAAAAAAAAACGATTTTTTTTGTTCATATTTTCAAAGATGAACTATCTAAGAATATGGGTACAAGAACTTTTTTGAAAATTTGAATTATTTTCGGAGATAAAGTTATTTTACTGACCAAATTGGTCTCCAAACTGGTTCTAATTCCAGCTCCCAGCAGGGTCTAATCAGACAAAAAGCATTAAGAAGTCTTAAAAATTATTAAACCAATTTATGACAGTTTATGGTCATATGAATTATTTATTCGATGTTTAGGTTCAGAAACTCAGAACAATAATGAGTCTCTAAACTCGTTGATTTAGACTTTCGCGCCGAAACATATTCATTCCCAATCTCGGGTAATAGAAATAGCAACATTGTTTTCAGTTTGCATTATAATGAAGGTTTCTTTCCGATTTTAAAAATTATGACCCATCATGAGATAATGCAAATTGGACCAGAAACTCATTCAGACAACGCCAGGATTGAACGATCTAAAATACGTACATCAGCGATTCAAAAGATGCTAGAACTGCTCGATTGGAAGAGAAAAACGCGAAAAATAGTTTTTTTTTTGAAGTAGAAGAAGGTCCGATGTATGAAGCAGAAATGACAGATTAATTAAAAGTTCATTCATCATTTTATGACTTTGAAGCGAAAAACCACGCAAAACTTTAAATGCTTTTTTTCAAAACAGACTTTCAGTACTCTTCCCACGACTTTTAGAGTTCTACTTTACTACACCGATTTACTTGAAATTTTCAGAGAGCCTTATTTATAGACCTATTTGTAGCCCGAACTAGCATCATCCGCAATTCGAGAAATTAAAAAACAGTAAAAAATCACTTTTCTTTCATACCGTCAACATTTTGTGAAAAAATATTTTTTTTACTCATCGTTAGTTCGGGCGATTGCGACATCATTGTAGATTAATGTAAGAAGACTTAGGTGCCAATTTTTTGAGACCTCCCACTTCATCAGCTGCAAGTTTTTCAAATTTAAAACTTTTTTTTAAATTTTTTATTGGATTTTAATAATATTAATAAACAGGTCATAAAAAAGGATAGTAAAAATATTCATTCCATTTTTTACGACACTTTAAAAACGACCTAAAATTCACTGTTATACAACTAGAATACCCCGTACCATACACTAGAGTACACCAGACCATAAAGTTTTACCAAAGTCAAAAATTTTTATTTAACATTTAATTACAAAAAAGGCTCAGCCAATCCTTACCAAAATTTAAACTGCACCGCGTTTTTGCACAACATCATGAACAGATTTCAAAAATTTAGAAAACGTTTGAAAGATATCAGTTGGAACACATTGATATCTTTCAAACGTTTTCTAAATTTTTGAAATCTGTTCATTATTTTTTGATTATAAAAAAAATGACTTGGCCGGTGGGTTCACAAAATTATTCAATGCGAAGCTGTTTTGAGTCTCATGGCATAGTTTGAGTTCACACAGCCACACATACTTTTTTCAATTTTTCATTATGGATCATCGAGAAATTAAAAAAATTTGCAAGCCTGATTTTCTAAACCTAAATATGCATTATATTAAAAAATAAAAAAGATTAGTTAGTTGCATATTTATTTTATTTTTACATGTTTTTATACATCTTCACTTTAGAATATAATTGCTAAGAACAGCCTGGTCAAGTTTTGACCAGCCACTTTTGTAATCTATCCGACATTCATCGAGGTAGCGGTAGTAAATGTTTCCACATGTAAGTATGTAACACATACCAATAATTTATTAAAAAGGCAGGGCATTCCTAGCAGAAGGAATGACAGTAATAACGTGTAGTATTGAATATAGTAATGATTTACAAAATAAATAGTAGTTTATTCTTTTTTACGAGGACGGGAAAATGAAATCCTCGTCATAATAATCCCAATCAGGACAGTACATTTCTGTGCAAGCACATAGAGTTCCATATCGATTGCATTTGCATTCGTTACATTTATTTTTGTATTCAGAGCATGGAACACATTCTAAATTAACTGAAAATTGAGTTTTACATTATAATTATAAATATTTATAAATAAACATATGGTTACATTTACTTACCACAATCTAATCTAGTGCAAGCATATTCAGTACCAGCATTGTCGCAAACGCAAAAATTGCAATTCTAAAATGGACAATAAGAACTTTCAGAGGATTATAATATTTT